CATACTTTGTATCCCCAATCCCCTCTTTTCTGAGCAGTAGGTGCCTGGTCTCCTGCCAGGCTGTGCCTTCTCATTCATGGCCCTCCTAAATTAAGAACTCCAGTCAGCTCAAGAACTAGTCAAGGGAAGGAGCCAATAGTGAATGAGTTATATCTGAGTTCATATTTTCTAGGGATTTACCTTGACAGTAATAATGCCTGGTATTTGTTGAGTGCTTACCAAATGCCCTGCACAGTTTACATTATGAGCTGATTAATCCTCACATGTAGATTCATTGCTATTAATATTTACATTTCACAAATGAGGAATTGACAATTAACCTAGTTGGATTAGTTTCTGAAAGGATTTCTTGACAGAGAAGTTAAGAAATTTTTCTAAGCCTCACCACTAATAATGGATGGAGTCAGGTAATCTGTTCTCTTTACTTTTAATGCAATTAGTGCACAATATGTATAAACTATACTTAAAACTTTTAAAGGGTGCTGGGCAGTATAAAAAAGAGGACCAGTTTTAGTCAGGGTAACTGATTTCAGATGTGCAACCACCTTAATCACAGAGTCTCTGAAACTTTGTCTCTAAATCTGTATAAAGAGCAGACTGGACAGTTCCAGTTAGAATATTATATAACTTTTCAATTTTGACGATAGATGTCCAAATTACTGTATATTTGTATTATACACCCAAATTACTGTATTATTTTAATGATAAGCAATTTGCCATATGTTGAGTCCATGGTGAGGTAATTATTCCTCAATGAAATCTTGCTGCAACATGGTTTGTATCAGAAAATCACTAATACATTTTTTCCTGTTTCTATAAAGCCACTGTGCCTAATGGTATTATTTTCAACAGTGTCAGGAAACAGGTCAAATATCAAATGAGGCTATTTTGTTCTATGTAAGTCAGCCTATAAAAGATCTGGAGAATATGATGATATAAAAGGATTTAGTTTCAAAAGGATTCAGTGCTACATTTTGTAGATTCTACAACCTAAACAGCCATATGTATGTGTCTTGCCAATGGGTTTCAGCCCCTGGCAAATTTGCTATGGATTCAATGTGACCAAAGAAAATGACAGCAAAACATTCTTGGGGTGAAAGGATTATACCTAATTTTATTTCCAGGTGGCAGTTCAGTCAATAAAATCCCATTCACTCAGAGCAAGTCTGCATGCAGCAAGCCAGTGTCTGCTGGGCCCCTCTGTCTGCACAGCTGTGCCACACATCCATCCTCCAGGCCTCTCTGCCTGCACAGCCATCCCCACAGCCATCCTTCTGGGCCTCTGTCCTCAGTGCTGCCACCACTCCAGCCTCTGCTCTGCTCTCCTACTGCCTTGCAGCTCTGCCAGAGCTCTGTCGTGCCCAGAGCACTGGGTGGAGCTCTTTATATAGTCAATAGCCATGTATTGCCCACAGGTGTGCAGTGAGCTAGTCAACCAGGGCCAGGTGAGAATCCTGGCCACAGGAACTCTCATTTTATCCACACTCCACCCCTCCAGGATTCTCTCCTCTTAATCCATGTGCCCTCAGTCCTCTGCAATGGTCCCTGTGCAAGGAAGCTGGAACATTGTTCTCCAGCCTCTCAGCAAAAAGTCTTGCAGACACACAGACCAGACTTGTGGCTCTGTCTCTGACCTCTGCCTCTTTGGTCTTAATGGCTGGAACTGCTGCTCTGGCTTCAGCTGTTGCCATAGCTCCAGTAAGATCCTATTTGACTTCCCATCTAATTTCCTTCCATCTACTCCTGCCTGTATCAAATCAACCCTCATCTGGGTCCTCATAACCCTCACGAGGCCCCTCAAATTCCTTCTATGAGTAACAGGTCTTATTTCTTTCCGGGTTCTCGTTGCTTCAGCTACTGTACATGTCACCTCACATTTTGTAATTGCTGCCTCAAGGCGGGCTGCACTGTCAGGGAAGACAGCTTTCCCATCTCTGATTCCGACAGAACAATTCCATCCACCCCTAAGTCCCACAGCCACCGGCTTAGCCTGAGTATAGGGGCGGAGCATAGAGTGCTCCCCAACCTGGGGAGGAGGCTGCTCCTCTCCTTGGGGAACTTTCAGCTGCTGGGTCTTTATTTTCTTTACAACCACTGGTGTGCTTTCAATACAGGAGGTACCAGTGCCTCCAGCACCACCCCTTCATCCTTCCCCAGCTCCTCCATTTCTGGGGCTGATGGCACCTTTCTCTCCCCTCCCCCAAGTGCCTCCTCTGCTACAGTGCCTCACAACAATGCCAGCTCAGTCTTCAGAAAGTCTCTTACCTTTAGCTCAATGCTTCGCAGCTGACGTTCTTGTGCCACCTCTGCATGTGCTTCCCTCAGAAGTTTGTCTTTTTCCTTGATGGTCTCTTCGTCCTTCAGAACATCCTGCCATCTCGTCTCCAATGGCACCTTGCTGCCAGTGCTCTCGTGCCACCTCATCCTGCATCAATGCCATCTCCTTTCTCGGGAATCCACAGAAGTTTGCAGCTCGCGTTCTTGTGCCACCATTTCTTGGGTCTCCTCTGTAAACCTTTTTAAGACTGTGAGAAGCAGTTAACCCACAGTCCCCACTGCCTCACAGGCACTCTGCTTCTCAAAGGATCTGCTTACTATACCAAGAGCCACCTCTACTGCCTCAGGTGTCACCTCCACTTGCCTCCAGTCCTGGGGTGGGGCCCAGTCCTCTAGGAGGCAAGCCACCTCAGACCACATACCCATTGGGGGACAGTCCACTTTTTACCCATTCACAGGGGCAGCCTGCTGAAGCACCCCTTCCATAAGGGCAGCTTGTCTTTTTCCTTGGTCAATACTGAATCCTGCTGACTATGCCAATTGTCTTGCCAATGGGTTTCAGCCCCAGGCAAGTTCACTACGGATTCACTGTGACCAAAGGAAGTGACAGCAAAACATTCTTGGGGTGAAAGGGTTATACCCAACTTTATTTCCAGATGGCAGGCCACTCGCTAAAATTCCATTCACTCAGAGCGAGTCTGCATGCAGCAAGCCGGTGTCTGCTGGGCCCTTCTGTCCACACAGCTGTCCCACACATCCGTCCTCTGGGCCTCTCTGCCTGCACAGCCATCCCACACAGCCGTCCTCTAAGCCTCTCTGCACAGTCATCTCACACAGCCATCTTCTGGGCTTCTGTCCTCAGTGCTGCCACCACTCCAGCCTCTGCTCTGCTCTCCTGCAGCCTTGCAGCCCTGCCACTGTGTCATGCCGGGAGCACTGGGAGGAGCTCTTTTTATAGAGTCAACAGCCATGTATTGCCCACAGGTGTGCAGTGAGCTAGTCAATCACTGCCAGGTGAAGATCCTGGCCACAGGAACTCTTATTTTATCCACAATCTGCATATGTGTACTACACACACATATATATAAATCTGACAACATATGTAGCAGAGACAAATAGTAGAAAGGATAAATGGATTCCAAATTTCCATATTGCATCACTGAGGTAGGAAATATAAAAGGCTTCTGTCTTATGATTTTTTAAGTCTTAATAAGTATATTGGACTCTGAGTAGGCAAATAAAATGTTTTCTGGAACTCCTCAACACCATCCTCATTTCTGATATTTATCGAGCACTGATATGTAGACACTGACCTACATATTTCACATGTATTACAGCTTTGCTAAAAAGCCGCTATGCACAGCTTAGTTTGCACATTCTCCTAAACTTATGAGGAAGTTTCAACTAAGAAAGGATGAATATATGGTAAACCTTACAATAAATAATCTTTCCTGCCTAGAAGAAGAATGTGACACTTGGTCAAACTTGCTGAGCAGCTGATGTTCACCCAGTCTCAAGACAACTGCATAAGCTGTATACACTTCTCATCAGAAATTAGAGATCAAATAAAAAGAAGCAGGTGAAACCAGGAGGAACACTGTAAAGGATCTGCAGAAACACACTTGTTACACATTAGAGCTCTGTTTGAAACTTCTGTGTGTATTCCGAAGGGAAAAAATATGGGGGATAATGACAAGAAATACTGTAGTGGGAGAGACGGACAAGTAAAGCATTTTTTCCCCCTATTTTTGCAAAATTAAGAATTAAAACAAAAGGAAATTAGTAACATTACCTGTAATCAAAAGTATGAAGCAAAACCATATAATTGCGTAAGAGAATAGAACAGATTTTTAGTAGCTGGGATCTCAGGTTATGGTTTTTGACACAAAATTGAGACTTAGTCACCCAATCCCTATCTTAAGGCCCAGTGTCATGATAAAAAATAATTCTTACCAGAGGCTTCATAATAGATATGATGATTTTAAGGATAATTAAAGCTCATGTGATGAAACCAAAAAGAGGCAAGAAAATTAGGCTTTGCCCATCAGCTATATGTGAAATCACAGATGTCTCTGTTCACTTATTTTGCACATAGAAAATAGTGTACATGTGAAAAACCTCCCTTAACTTGATAATATGACTCTTCACCCTCCGTTAACTTGATAATATCTTCTTCCTAAGATTTAGAATTTCTTTGTGCTATTTTTCTTTCTCTCTTAACATTTGACTCAGTTAAAACAAGGTCAGTGAACTTGCTATTTTATAGAAATACTATTTACTGCAGATGGCTGTGGAAAGGTTCAAGTGGTTCACTGCAGGCCTAAGACCCAGCTTAAAATATGGAGAGAACCTTTGTTAACAGCTGGAATGACTTTCTAACAATTATATCAAGTTTTGCCTCTGGGGCTTTGTCAGTCTCCAACCCCATCCCCCTAACTCTTCCTTCTTTTTTAATTTTTAATGTTTATAAAATGCCTCCTTTGTGTCAGGTGATATACTGGGCATGATATCTATCCTGCACCCTGAAGTTTCAGTCTTATAAAGGATTGTTTAATTCCTGCCCTTAGGGCTCTTCAGGGGACAAGGACTGGATGGGGAGAGGGGATAAAGATGGAGCTATTCACCTTGTCCAAGGGCAGGAGGTGGGGGCAGTGGTGAGGTTTTCACAAAACAGGAGTTATTTGATCTGATGTTCTTCTTTTCCTTATTTTGGAACTTCACAGATACACCTTGTATGGGAAGAGTACTGCTGTTTGTGTTCCCTTTCTAAGAAGGTAAGACATGGGAAAATTCTCTTATGAAAACAGTCATATTCTTTAGAAAAGACTTTTCAATTTAATTTTTGCCATTTGGCTTAATACATTTCACTCTGTACAACTTAATTTCCACATTCTACTCAATTATTCTTACCATTCTGTGTAGAAGTAAAATTGAATCATGTGATAGTTCATAGATATTCACAGATGGAAAGATTTAGTTACTGAGAAATACAGTTTAGCTCCATGTAGGAGTATCAAAAAATATGAAAAAATTATGCAAAAATCTAATTTAAAAGCCTAATGAATAGTTTTTACTGTTTAACTCTGCATTTCCATAAAACCTTTCTTTAGCATCATTTAAGAATTTCATCAATGTTTCTTTGTTTTTTGAAAAAAAAGAAAAGTAAAATCATGGATACCTGTAAAAGTAAAGCACTAAAATGTTACTCATTATTTGGTGTAAAGACTGACTCTGGGGCATTGTAAAAATGAAAAACAAAAAACCGTAAGATTGAAGCATTTAATTTAATATTAACATTTTAAAATATTTAACTATTTAATATTTTTTCTTTTACATATGATTTATTGCTGCTTACCACATTATAGAATTATAAAGGTCAATTAAACTTACCTGTCTGTATATAGTAAGTCATGCCATTTTTTATGTTGTGTTAAATTTTATCTGGTACCAATAGTATACACAATTTTCTATAAATTATATCCCTGTTCCACTATGACAGTCACAATATGATATAATGGTCTACTACTTAGAGAGGCTAAGAGGACAAAATACAAAATATTATAATTGCCAAGATAGTTTTATGAAATTAGATTTAGGATAAAAAAATGATCATAAAAGTATCAAGAATTTTTACTTGTCCCCTCCCCAAACAAAATATAAGGGAAAAATTTAATTTTCAATAGCAACAAAGATATAAAGAGCTTCAAATGTAGAAGATCTGTGCTAGATTACATGAAAAAAACCTGTAAGTCTTAATTCAGATACATAAAATAAAATTTTAATAATAGGTTAAAGCCATAGTCTAGGATAGGATAATTCAATATTATAATCTTAAAAGTACTTTCCAAATTAATTTATACCTTGAATATATTTCCAATAAAGTTCCTAAAGTGGTTGATTGTAAATCCGCAAACATATGGAAATGAAAAAGAGGAAAGACACTTAAACAACTCTTGGGTCAGAGAAGATATACAATGTATCATTATAAGCTACATAGAATATATTGTTGATGAAAAGATTATATTAGTAGAAGCTACAAGAATGAAAGATCTGTGAATAAGCCTCCATTTGAGAATTTTTTTATAAAACAACAAAATAGCACAAAAGACAGCAGAAGGAAGAATGTGTTGATAGCAGAGCTTACTAAGAAAAATGGAAAATATTAGAACTAATAAATAAATATGAAAGGAAGTTCACTGAAAAAAATAATAAAATAGATACACCATTAATTGACTTAAGGAGAAAGAACCACATATGAAATAACAAATACTGAAGGTCGTAAATAACCACAGGCACATTAAAACATGATTATATTTTCTAAAATCTATACAAGATATTCTGAAAATCTGGGTGAAGTTATGGAAAACATAATTTACTGAAAATATTAGGACTAGTATTAGTGACTAGACAGGAAACAGAAAAATCTAGCATTGGTTACCAGAACAGAAACAAAAGAATATGCTTAAAGAGGACCCCTCTTCCACAAACACCAAACCCTTAAAAACAGATAAGCCAAATGTTGTTTAAACTTTTTCAAAGCCATTGAACCAGGAATAAAGATACTGGATTATTTTTATGAGAAGAGCATGAAATTAGTCAACTGATATTTGACAAGAGAGCCAAGAATATTGAAAGGAGAAAAAAAATTGTCTCTTCAAATGGTGCTGGGAAATTGGATATTTCCATGTGAAATAATGAAACTAAACCTATCTGATACCACTCATAAAAATTAACTTGAAATGGATGAAGACAAATGTAAGACCTGAAACAATAAAACTAGAAAAAAACATAGGCATTAAGCACCTTGACATGAGTATTGGCAATAATTTTTTGGATATTACTCCTAAAGCACAAACAACAAAATGAAAAATAAACACATGGAGCTACTGCATAACAAAAGAAATGCTCTGCATAACAAAAGAGCTAAAAACTAAAAAGCTCTGCATAACAAAAGAAATGATCAACAAAATGAAAAGGCAGTCTGTGGAACAGGAGAAAATATTTGCAAATGTTATATTTGATAGGGGGCTAATAGCCAGAATATATAAAAACATTCATACAATTCAATTGCAAAAAACAATCCAGTTTTTAAAATGGGCAAAGGACTTGAGCAGACATTTTTTCAAATGGACAGCATTATATGGAAATGTGATCAACATTACGAATCATTAAGGAACTACAAATCAAACCCACAGTGAAATATCAACTTGTGCCTGTTAGAATGGCTTGCATCAGAAGACAAGAGGGTGTGGAGAAAAGGGATCTCTTGTGTACTGTTGGTGGGAATGTAAATTGGTAAATCCAATATGGGCGATAGTATGGAGGTTCCTCAAAAATCAAAAATAGAACTATCAAATGATCCAGCAATTCCACTGCTGGGTACACATTTGAAGGAAATGAAATTACTATGTGGAAGAGATACCTGCGCCCCCATGTTAATCGCAACATTATTCACAGTAACCAAAACATGGAAACAACCTAAGTGTCCATTCAGTCAAAAAAAGGAAAGAAATCCTGCCATGTGCAACAAGGATGGACCTTGAGGGCATTATGCTGGATGAAATAAGTCAGACAAGGACAAATGCTGTGTGATCTCACTCACATGTGAAATATAAACAAATAAAACTCATAGGAAAAAAAGAAAAAATACGCATATAATTGGCACTTAATCTTCACAAAGTTTTCACAAAAAATATTTAAACCAGTTTTACTTAGATTATGAACAAGACCATAAACAAGTGTGTTTGTTCCAGACAACAAAAGGCAGTTCATTATTATGAATTATTAAAGTAATATATTGTAAATATATGTAAGGAAAAAAGCATATATTCCAAACTCCTGAGATGCAGAAAGAAGCATTTAATAAAATATGCATTAGTGATAAAGCCTCTTAATACAATAGGAAAGTTGGATACTTTAAAAATATTATGTAGCATTCCTACACAAATGTTAATATCTTTGTGAATGAAAAAAACAATAGAAAAAACAATGCGAGAATTCCATTGTCACCAATTTTATATAAACTATTTCTAGAAGAACTAGCCAATGATATTAGGCATGAATAATAAGTCACAAGAAAAACTGGGAATGTAAAGTAACATTTCACATTCAACAATTTGCAGTTTTACTTAAAACTAATAAAATCAAACAAAAACTATTATACAACATAATTTAGCATGGTCATATTTATATATATTAAAGTAAGTAGTTTAAATTTAATTAAGAAAAGCTCCCTTTCCAACCATAACAATTGATTAAAATCCTGGAAAGGAACATGACAAAAACTATGCAAGAACTTTGTTTAAAAATAATAAAGTTAAGCCCTGGAAGATGACTGGTTAGCCAGAGATGGGTAAGATTCCTCAAGGGAGGAACAACCTAAGACAAGCACAGTCGCAGGGGGCCATCAGGTGAGAAATTGGGGATCAACAGAGGTGAGGCTTAGAACCTCATCCCCCTTGTTTTGAGAGAAATCTTCTGCATCCATGGATGTTTTGTTGCCCTTGTCTAGCTTGGATTAACACATAGTCTACAGGCACACACCTGATCATCTACATTTGCCCTCTTACAGCACTAAACTATGTTTTCTACCTTTATCTTGCATCTACCT